GGAAAAAAATCTATCTGTTATCACAACTTTTTCTTCTCTTTCTGCCAGTGTTTAATACTTTGAGCAGTTCTCATTTTCATTTATTGAGAATGACTTCTTTGTTGGTATCATTGTGCCTTTACACATTAATTATTACCCAGTTATCTTTTTCCTTCTCTTGATTAAAAGTCAAAGCTTGACGTTTTTCTGAAGAACAATATTTTGACTTTTTTTTTTAGGGTTCCCTATCATTGGAAAAGTTAAGCGAGAACTTGTGGAACTATTACGTGAGAATGGGTATAAGACTGTTTCGGAGGCAGTAGGTGTCGATCACAAGCAGTGACACTGGTTTGCTGGATCTGCTGACTTGTTTCAGCAATTAGTTCTTGATTACGTTTTAGATATTCTTGAACAGTGTCTTGTTTCTATGATATATTGAACTTTTGGTACTTTAAGATGAAACTTTACCGTTTTATCTTGTTCCTGCACTTTTACGAGATATTGATTCATTTAGAATAGGATAGTACCTTTGTCTTTAACAATTAATTTTAAGAATCAATGGGACTGTTGAGCAGACATAACTTATTGGTAAACGGATTTGGCAGTGAATAAGACGCCTAGAGTAGGGCTTGCTTTTTCCCTCATTTTGGGGGCTTTGAGAAGTAAGTAGTTAGCTTTTATGTTTTTTTTGACCTTCACTTCTCTGTTGTTTGTGACCAGATTTGTTTGTTGTGTAATTAGCTTGCCTTAGAAGCTGTAAAGTTTTTTCCAATATATTGTTCATGACTTTTAGTTTAGGCAGAAATTACGAGCTTTTTAGAAATACTCGAATTTTACTTGTTTTGGATATTTGAGAGATAGCTAACGTTTCTAGGCGCTGTTGTGGTGTGACAGGAGACAAAGCAACATAACTGTTTAGAAATTTGTTTTTTTTATTGGATTGAGTCTACAGATTCTTGTAACATTTTATATTTCGGATTTTTTGTGTTGGTTAGCGCTCAGACAAAAGTTGTTACACAATAGTTTGTCCTTTTAACCTCTGAGGAGTCGTTCCTCTGTGGATTTTTGAGGCTGATTTTCTCTAGGAGCAGTTGCGATCGTCAGCAAGTCACTGGAACAGTGCAGCTAAAATTTCCCGTTATAAATTCGGTTGACAGGTCGCTTTGACAATTTTATAATGAGATATCGAAAAGCTTTAGGGGAAGGGGAAGTGTAGCGTCTTCCCACTCTTTCAACTTACACACTATTACTACAGTCTGCTTTTTTGTATAAAGTTTCTTTAATTCGTGAAAAAAACTTAATTTTTTACAAGGAAGTTAGCTTGAGCAAGGTAGGTTTGTCGAAGATTTCATGCACGTGGGCTAGCCATGAACGATGTTATGGATGAAGTTCTCAAGAATTATTAGTGTCCCATTCTTCCAAGCTTAAGTCAAGATCCATCAGTGACTGTTGTCTATAAAAGGAGTTCTGAAACCGTAGTCGGGAACTGCGATTGTCTAGACCTGTTAACCTGCAGCTACATTTTTGCAATGTTTAGGGGTAATTTTACGACTGGTACAGATTTCAGCTAACAGGAAACCAGAATTATCGTAAAACATTGCTTATTAACTACTGGCAAGAGATCCCCATTGTGGAGCTTCAAAGAAAGTATACAATGTTTATTTAAAGGGTAAATCGACTGTTCTGAAGCGTTTTTTGACTTGGTAGATTCCCTCCTGAGGCCACTGACGCTGCTCTTAGCTCTCTCTCGTCCGTTTATAGCATTATTTAGGGTTCGATTTATAAAGATAAGAATGACTTTGAGTTGCAACTTTAATAGTAATTACATCAAAAAGACAGGAGTGAGTTTTAAAATAAGACTTAAAAATAATACAGTAGACGTGTACTAAGAGGTTCCTTAGAACTACTCCTCTTTAAGATAAGAAAATTGTTTGAAAACCTTTATTTATTTAGATAGAGGGAGAGGGGAAAATTTTAGGACTAACAACTGCAAATTTTAACAAATATTGCGTCAGAGATGTCGAATTGCAAATCATTCCTTCAAATGTATCTTCTTCCTCATCTAGTCATCACAGCAATTTAATAAGTTCAGGTCAAAGAAAATCCCGATCGTAGTTGACATCAACCTGGAAGATTATAATATCATTAGAAAAGCTTAAGTTAAAACTGAAAACCACATTTTTTAAAAGATGATTGCGGAGAGCAGTGAACCATAAAAGTAACTTATTTTCGACAGCAGCTGTCAAATTCCTAACATTTGTAACATGGTGCAAGTCACGGCTTATAAAATCTAATTTTTAGCCAGCTGGGACAGTTGCAGCACTCACGTGTCAAAGGAGAAGTCCGCAGGTCAAAAGTCAGAGCACAAATCAGTACAGCTCTTATTACACAAAAATTTGTAAAAAAGTGACAAATGGCTTATAGTCAGTTACATTAAATTTGATACTGCCTTCCACTACAGCTTAAAAAAAACTTAAAAAACTGCCGCGAAGAAGTATTGCGAAACCCTCATTTTGTAACACGCTAAGAAGTACACTACGCTTCTCCAGAAAAAAAAAAAAA